CAAATCACACAATGTCTTTCCCACCTCCACATCTCCTATAGCAATAGAGATACTGAAGCTTCCTGGATCTTTCATTTTTGTTGGAAGCTTCTTCTGGATTAGGGCACTACACTCTGCTGTTAGGGCCACTGTCTCACCATCAGTTAATTTCCTCTTCTTAGTAAGAAGATCCTTCATGAATTTTGCATAGTGAGGCATGTTTTCCAGTGCTTCAGAAAATGGTATGTTAATTTGTGAATTTTTGAAGATATCCAGAAATCTTGCATAGTGCTGTTTCTGAATCTCTTGCTTCAACCTCTGAGGGTAGGGAACTTTAGCATAGGGAGATAAACTAACTGGTTGTTCTTTCTTGTCAGCCATCTTCTTCTTTTCCCACTTCATCATCTTTTGTGGGGAAGCATTTTTACCAACTTCTACCTCTCCTTCATTCTTATTGTCCTTCCCTTCCTTTTCTTTGTCAACTCCAACTATAACATCTCTAACAACTACTTCCTTCTCACTTTTCTCATTTCTCATTTTCTCTCCTTCATCATCAGAGACCACATCTTCAACCACAACCTCTTCTTCATTCTTTTTATTTTCCACCTTCTTTTTCCCTGGTTGAAGTACCAACCCACTTCTTGTCACAATTGCTTTACAGTGCTCCTTAGGATTCACCAGTGTATCACTTGGAAATTTCCTTTGTGGTCTCTCTGATATCTGTCTTGATAATTGACCAATCTGGGTCTCCAAATTTCTGATTGATGCTTCCTGATTTCTGAAAGAAGTTCTGGTCTCCTGCATGAATGCAGTTGTCTCTTCCCTGAATGAAGTAGAACCCTGAATATAATCCTGAGTCGTCTTAGATAACTGAGCAAACGCTTTCTCCCATGCAGCAGGATCACTTGACTGCTCCTTCATATGTGGTGGTAGAGGATGTAATGGTGGATTCAATTGGTGGTTGGAACTATAGCTGAATCCTGGGTGTTGATTCTTGTTTTTCCATGGTGGCATATAAACATTCTTTCCCTGATTGTTGTAGTTCCTTTGATTATTCTGATCATACCACACTCCATTCACCTCTGCTTGTTCTGATGATCCCTCATAATCACACTCCTCTGTCACATGGCCCTTACCACAGATAGCACATACACTATTTGTTTCCACAGAAGCTACCTTTTTTGAAGAGAGTTGCTTAATAAGGGTATCTAATTGTTGCTGCTGTTGACTCTGTGTCTGCATCAGTTGATCATTCCTTGCCAACAAAGCATCATACCCATCCAACCTGATAATTCCTGTCCTTCTGTCAGCCACTGGAGCATTATCAAATTCTTGAGATGCTAATGACTCAAAGATATCCAAGGCTTCTTGAGGGGTCTTGGTAGTCAATGATCCACCAGCAGTGGCATGCGCCAAGGTTCTAGTGTTAGTGGTCATTCCTTGCAGGAAGATTGCTGCTTGTTGCCATGCCTCAATTCCATGCTGTGGACATTTCCTCAACAAAGTCTTGAATCTCTCCCAAGCCTCATAAATAGATTCTGACTCTTTTTGCTTAAAGCTTGTAATTTCATCCTTCAACTTGGCCCTCTTGGATGCTGAGAAAAACCTTTGCAATAACTTGGTTTGCAAATCATCCCAAGTTGTTATACTTCCTTGTGGCAATGATTGCAGCCATCTCCTTGCATCATCCGTCAGTGAATGAGTGAATAGTCTCAACAGAATTGCATCTCTTGTGACACCGTTTATCTTCACAGTATCACTCAACAATAGGAAGTTCTCTATGTGCAAGTAAGGGTCCTCCGCACTGGTTCCAGCAAACTGATCCTTCTGCACCAAATGTATCAAAGCAAGCTTCAATTCAAAGTTGTTGGGCTCCACTGTTGGGCGCATAACACTCCCAATTGGAGGAACCACTGCAGGAGTCATGTACTCTCCCAGTGTCCTCTGTGGTGGTGGTGGTATGTGATTCTCTGCCATTATATCTTCCTGATTAACCGTACTTGATTCACCAATTTCTTGCAACTATCTCCTTTGCCTGGCTGCCCTTTTGTGCTTCCTCAATGTCCTTTCTAATTCTGGATCATACAACAACAAATTTGGATCAAGTGTACCTCGCATGTACCAGAATCAAAATTGACCAGAAACTTAACATAAACTAAAATACTGAAAATAAAAGGATTCAATCTCAGAATTCTATAGTATCAGTTAGTGTTGAAAAACAAATTCCCCGGCAACGGCGCCAAAAACTTGTTGGACGTTTAGCAAGTGCACTAGTCGTACAAGTAATAAAATGATGAGTAAAGATCGTTCCCACGAGGAATTGTGTTCAAACACTAATATACCATAGAAAACTGATTTGAATCAAATAAGAGTTTGTAAAAATCATGAATAATTTGTCACCAGAAAATTGATTTTAAATAAATTGACACAAAGTAAATATGGATTAGGAATTAATAAAAACAACAAGTAGTCAGAAAACAACTTTCCTCCATGATAACCCATATAAAAATTGATCATATGATTAATTCCTTTCCATGTGATGTTAATCAACCTTTTACTTATCATCAAGATGTAATCCCTCACTACCCTGATAGAAACATTAATCAGAAACCCCAATCCCTTGGTGATCTCTTTCTTAATACATGCATGAAATACTAAGGTTTTAAGATTACATCAGAACTCTAGCATCAATCCCTTGAGTACTAGAATTCTGATGTTGAGATTATCAAATACAGAAGTCATATAAACATCCATGTTCTATACTACTTCTTTGATAGAAATAATTAACTCAGAAAATCTCAAATCAGCACATGAAAAATACTTCATCATATTAATCAAATCAACATAATATTATCATGGAGTTCCATTGCATTCAAACTACAAAGACTCTACTCAGACATGACTAAGGAATAAATAAGAGAAGAAGAAACAAACTTCATTTCCATGTTGAAAGTCTTCAATCTCCAAACTATTACAAGGAAATCCTAATACAAAAACTAAGAGAATTTAGAGAGAAGTCAGACTAAGTTTAAGAGAGAGAGAGAGTTCAGATCCCCCAAGATTCTGATCTAAGTGTCAAGGCTTTGCCTTATATAGTGTTACAATTAAAAACAGAAAATTGATGTGGGCGCTAAAACGTCCATAAGTGGCCGTTTTAGCGTCCATGCTTTACGTATGCTCAACTGCTTTTAACTGATTTCAACGCTAAAACGTTAAGGAATGACCGTTTTAGCGTCCAAACTTGGTGAATGCTCAACTAACTTTAACTGACTCCAACGCTAAAACGTTTGATTTGGACGTTTTAGCCGTGAAGACCAGAATCTTTTTCCACTTTAGGGCGCTAAAATGCATATTGCAGGCCGTTTTAGCGCCCAAGACCAGCAATTTTCCATCTTCTTAGTGTAGCAGCACGCTAAAACGCTCTGTGTGGACGTTTTAGCGCTCATCACCAGCAAGTTTTGGCCTCTTCCTGTAACAGGGCGCTAAAACGCTCAGTGTGGACGTTTTAGCGCTCAACACCAGCAAGTTTTGGCATTTTCCTGTAACAGGGCGCTAAAACGATCAGTGTGGACGTTTTAGCGCTCAACACTTAGGCAATTTTTCTTTTCTTGAGCTCCAGAATCTTCTTCCTTCTCCAGTTGTCTTTCAAGCTTGCTTTTCCTACAAGAATCATACAAATTTCCAATAAAGCTCTTGAACTTGTAATTGAGGACATCTTAGGACATTAACCTTGTTTTTCATCATTTAATCACACAATTTGATCCTAATTCCTGCTAAAAACCATGATGAACTAAGGGTTCATCAGTGGGACAGTGGTGCGCACCATTTGATTGTAGAATCTGATTCGTCTCTTGCAATAGAAGCCATCTTGGGAGATGATAGAAATGGGAATAGCCTCCAGCTGGTAAAATGCATCAAGACTTGGTGTCTGGAAGATTGGTCTGTGCAATTTGTGCAAGTGAAAAGAGAGTTGAACAGTTGTGTTGATTGGCTTGCGAAAGCCACTGGAATCGCGGATACAAATCTGGTTATGCACCAGATGATTCCGCGTGGGTTGGGGAGGTGGCTGGCTGTGGATGCTGGTCACCTGCCACTGTAATGCTTTTTTTTTCTTCTGGGCTTTAGCCCCTTTGTTCTACTAAAAAAAAAAGAAAAAAAAGAAAAACAGGCCTAATCACACCACTAAAAAGTTCAGAAGCCTTTTTCGTTTGAGAAGTAAAATACAGTGATTGTGTTAAAATCATATGGTCAAGAAGAGTTGATTCTTCATAATTTACATATATAACATTTCTTTTGTTTGTAACAAAAGCTTTAACCATGCGAAGGGCCATAAGATGTTTTTGAGTATGTGAAATCAGTGCATTGTGAGATCCACAAAAATTTGTAAGGATAGGCAAAATTACAAGTGTGTATATATATATATATATATATATATATATATATATATATATTGAAAAATATTTCTCTAATCACTTGACATAAATTTATCTCAAATTATCCATTTTAATTATGTATTACGGTAATATATAATTATAATATTAAAGTTATTTTTTTCTCTTTCTACACGTCATCAGACAAGTTCTGAAAAGTAATTGAGGAGAGTGAAAAAAAATAATTTTAATGTTATAACTATATACTAATGATAGTATATATTTAAAAGGGTAATCTAAGATAAGTTTATCTCAACTGGCAGGAGAAATGTTAACCCCTGTGTATATATATTATAACAATTTATATAAAGAAAGATTATATTTACAACTTTTTTTGTTTACGTACTCTTACAAAATATATTAAGATATTGAGTATGACCGGTCATACTTCAAAGAAAAGTGTATAACCCGCTATACTTAATGTAGTTTGTAAAAAAAATTTGTAAACGAATACTTGCTCCGGTTTATATAAAAATAATACAAAGACAATGTTTTCGGTATAGTTGCAACGACGATTATATATGTAAAATTTAAAATGAAAATTTGAATAATAGTAACCCAGTTGTTGAATATATATGATGTTGTATACAGCGAGTGAAGGCGAAAGTTCCTCCAAAATTAATATTACACAGCAACAGCGACAAGTTAAAGGCAAGTGAGCTTTTTGAAATAGAGCATGAAGAAATGCTAAAGGAAGCACAAGACTGGATAAAGGGGACTGCTCAGTCATGCTCCGCCGTGGCTGTCCTTGTTGCCACCGTCGTCTTTGCAGCTGCCTACACTGTCCCAGGAGGTGTCAATGACAATGGTGTTCCTGTATTCCTCAACTCTCCTCTGTTCCTGTTCTTCACCATTGCTGATGTTGTTGCACTTGCATGCTCAATGGTTTCTGTGATGATGTTCCTTTCCATTCTTACATCTCCATTTGAGATGGAAAGTTTTCTAAAGTCCCTGCTGTTAATAGTGCCAAACCAGTATTTGCAAGAAGAAGAAAACGAAAAGATGTTGTATATTCATTAGCTCTGTCACTGTATACAAAAGGAATGGTGAGATATATACATGTAGCTGAAGATGGTAGTAGCCATTCTGTTATAACAAACCAGCTGACGTGGCCACTAAGCAGAACAGAATGGGTGAACGTGGTCATTAACCAAAAGAGAAAATAAATGAAAAAATACAAAGAATAAAAATGACATATTGTAATACTCCCCCTCAAGATGGGGAGTAAATGTTAATGATTCCCATCTTGGATAAAAGACCAGAAAAAAGTGAATGAGGCAGAGACTTGGTGAGCATGTCCGCAAGTTGATGAGAGGAGCTGATGTGAAAAGTCTTCAATGTGCCACGGGAAATGCAGTCACGAACTAGATGACAATCGATTTCAATATGCTTGGTACGCTCATGAAAAACCGGGTTGGCTGCTATGTGTAGGGCAGCTTGATTATCACAAAACAAATGTGCTGCAGAAGGATGAGGGAAGCCAAGATCCTTGAGTAAATGCAGTAACCAAAGAACCTCACATGTGGCATGAGCCATGGAGCGGTACTCAGCCTCGGCTGAGCTACGAGAAACAGTATGCTGCTTCTTAGACTTCCAAGAAACCAGAGAGTTGCCAAGAAAAATACAGTATCCAGAAATGGACCGTCGGCTGTCTGGACAAGAAGCCCAGTCCGAATCACAAAAAACTTTCAGTTAAGAAGAAGAAGTAGAGGGGAAGAACAGACCTTGACCAACAGATGCTTTGACATAAGCAAGTACACGATGAGCAGCTTGTAGATGAGGTACCCGAGGGGTGGCCATGAATTGGCTGAGATGATTTACAGCAAAACAGAGGTCCGGTCGTGTAATTGTTAAGTACAGTAGTCTCCCAACAAGCCTTCGAAAGACAGTAGGATCAGGAAGAGGATCTCCATCATGTAGGGACAACTTGGAGTTAACTTCAAGGGGAGTGAATTTTGGTTTGCAACCAGATAAGCCTGAATCTTGAAGAATATTTAGAGCATAGTGATGTTGGCAGAGGGAGATGCCCTTTGAAGAACGAGCTACCTCCAAACCCAAGAAATATTTAGCAGGGCCAAGATTCTTTAGGTGAAATTTGCTGTCCAAGAGAGATGTTATATTCTGCACCTCAGAGAAATTATTAGATACCACAAGAATATCATCTACATATACCAACATGGCTGTAAAATGAGAAGCAGAATTTTTGACAAACAGAGAGTAATCAGCCTGTGATTGAATGAAGCCAAGAGAGACCAAGGTAGAAGAAAATTTGGCAAACCATTGCCTGGAGGCTTGCTTGAGTCCATAAAGTGATTTGTGTAAACGACATACAGCATTTGGAAGGGACTCCCCCTGTCCATGATAGCCGGGTGGTAGTGTCATATAGACCTCTTCAAGTAGATCTCCATGCAAAAAAGCATTGTTGACATCCAATTGTATGAGATGCCAATTGTTGAGGGCAGCTAGTGCTAGAATAACCCGAACTGAGGTGAGCTTGGCTACTGGGGAAAAAGTTTCAGAGAAATCTACTCCCTCTTGTTGTGTGAATCCTTTAGCAACTAAACGGGCCTTAAATCTTTCAACAGAACCATCAGCATTGTATTTGACCTTGTAAACCCACTTGCATCCAACAGCATGCTTACCAGGGGGAAGTGAGACAACAGTCCAAGTGTGATTATTTTTCAGAGCCAATAATTCAGCATTCATTGCTGACTGCCAATCAGGGAGCTGAGAAGCCTCAGAGTATGTAGATGGTTCAAAGTGGACAGTGAGAGAGTTTACAAAGGCAGAATATGTGGGGGATAGTTTGGAATAGGAAAGGAAATGGGAAAGGGGATGTGCTGTAGATGAGGAACATATGTAATCTGCTAAGTGTCCAGGGGGCTTTTTAGGTCTAGCTGGACGAATGGCCAGAGGAGTGGAGGAAGAGGCAGTAGTGGGTGGGTATATGGGAAATGGTGAATCAGGAGAAGAAGAACTAGCAAGTGGAAAAACTGTTTCAACAAAATGAACATCTCTTGAGATGAAAGTGCGGTTAGAGGTAAGGTCTAGGAGTTTGTACCCTTTATAGCCAGGAGGATAACCCAAAAAAACAGCAGGGGTGGCCCTAGGGGAAAATTTGTGTCTGGATTTAGGAAGTGTGGACCCATAGCAAAGGCAGCCAAATATACGGAGATGGGCATATGTGGGAACCTTGTGGGATAAAATTTCAAAAGGGGTTTTGTGAGATAATAGAGGGGAGGGGGTTCTGTTTATGAGGTAAACAGCCGTTAGCACACAATCCTGCCAATATTCAAGTGGGATGTGGGATTGGAAATGCAATGCGCGAGCAACATTCAAAATGTGCTGATGTTTGCGCTCTACTACAGAATTCTGCTGTGGTCTATCAACACAAGAGTGATAGACCGTAATGCCTTTAGAGGAGAAAAAATCATGCAACATGAACTCTGGTGCATTATCACACCGGACAGCTTTAATGGCAATGTTATATTGGTTTAATATCAGATTGAAAAAGTTAGGAAAAACAGAACGAAAATCAGATTTGCATTTTAAAAAATAAGTCCATGTAAAACGAGATGCATCGTCAACAATAGTAAGAAAATACTTGGATCCCTCAACAGAAATTGGGTGAAAAGGACCCCAAATGTCACAGTGAATAAGAGTAAATGATGTTGGAGATAATTGTGGATTTGAAATAAAAGGCAAACGTTTCTGTTTGGCCAGAGGACAGATATTACAAAAATGAGATGCATTAAGAGTATCAGAAGTATGCAAGATGTTTTTCATAGAATTTAAAACAGAAAATGACAGATGACCTAAACGAGCATGCCAGAGCTCAGAGTCAGACTTATTTATAACAGAACAAAGGGAAGGGGGGACACAAGACTGGGAAATAAGGGAACAAATATCTAAAACATAGAGACCTCCACAACGCTTAGCAATCCCAATCGTCGTGGCTGTGAGGGGGTCCTGTATGACACAATGAGAATCAGAAAAATTAGCAACAAGTTTGGAATCGTGAGTAAGAGCACTAATGGATAAAAGATTGAAAGTAAAAGATGGAACAAACAAGACATTTTGAAGAATTAACGAAGAAGAAAGTGTTAGAGAAGTGGAGCCAGTTACTGGAACGGTCGACCCATTGGGAAAAGAAACAACAGGAACAGTGGAAGAAGGAAGAAGAGGGGAACCAGAAACCAAACGTGATGAGTAACATACGTGGTGTGTGGCCCCAGTATCCAGTATCCAACAAGATTCAGGAAAAAGAGGGAAACGCTTACCGTTGAAGCTGGCTACAGATGGAGAAGAATCAATGACAGATGCGGAAGAAGGAGCAGGCGAAGTAGCAGAATTCTGATGGAGGAGCGAAACGAGATGCGCATATTGGGATTGTGTGATCGTGGCTGATGACGGTGGAGAAAAATTGGGGAAAGAGGAACTAGGGTTCACGTGGTGGGATTGAGGCAAATAAGAGACAGATGAATTGGTATGGGCTGGGGGAAAATTGGGAGTTTGGGCCGTGTGTGTGGAATAAGTGGGCCTATTAATCCTGGGCTTGTACCCAGGGGGGAATCCGTGGAGACGAAAACATTTGTCTCGGATGTGGCCTTGAGCATGGCAGTAGGTACAGAAGGGTTTGGAACGGCGGAGTGTGGTGGCGGCGGCAGCCGTCGCCGGAGAAGGAGCAGTGTTTGATGTTGATATTGAGTTCAGAAGAGGCGTCTCAGGAGCAGCATGGATGGTAACATTGATTTGGCGCTGTCGTTCCTCTTGGAGCACAAGAGAAAAAACGCGAGCAATTGAAGGAAGTGGATCCATCAGGAGGATCTGTGCTCGCACTGAAGAAAATGACTCATTGAGCCCCATGAGGAACTGAAGAGCGTCGTGTTGTTGTTGGGAAATGGTGACCTGCCGTAAACCACCACAGGTACACGGTGGCGTGGGAATGTATGCTTGAAGTTCATCACATAGGGTTTTAAGCCTGGTGTAGTACGAATTGACGTCAAGTGACCCTTGATGAAGAGAAGAGATCTCTTGCTTCAGTTGAAAAATGTGTGGACCATTGGCTTGCTGAAACCGAGTACGCAAATCCTCCCAAATATCATATGCATTTGGGAAATAAACCAAACTATCAGCGATGGCTTTGGATACAGAATTAAGGATCCAAGAAATGACCATGGAGTTGCAACGGTTCCATGCCGAAAAAAGGAGCTCTGTATTTTGAGGGCGAGAAACAGAACCATCGGTGAAGCAGGATTTGTTCTTGGCAGTGAGAGCTAATAGCATTGCTCGACTCCAGGAACTATAATTTGTGCCATCAAGAGTGTGGGTCACAAGAACGAGACCAGGGTGGTCACTACTCTGCAGAGAGTACGGGCTAGATGCATCCTCCATGATAGGGGATGAAGATGAGGAATGATCGGAAGAAGGCGGAGGGCGATTGGTGCCGCGAGCCATCAGGAATTATCTGATACCATGTTAATAGTGCCAAACCAGTATTTGCAAGAAGAAGAAAACGAAAAGATGTTGTATATTCATTAGCTCTGTCACTGTATACAAAAGGAATGGTGAGATATATACATGTAGCTGAAGATGGTAGTAGCCATTCTGTTATAACAAACCAGCTGACGTGGCCACTAAGCAGAACAGAATGGGTGAACGTGGTCATTAACCAAAAGAGAAAATAAATGAAAAAATACAAAGAATAAAAATGACATATTGTAATACCTGCCTCGAAAGCTGACAATGGGATTTGCATTGTTGTTCTTGTCACTGACCATCACAATGTTGGCATTTAGTTCCACAATCTTGCTTACCATTAGGTTGGAGAACAACCAATGGACCACAAGTTTGATATACTGTGTCACGTTCCTTCCTGTTTCAGTATTTGGGTTGATGCAATTCCCCATTTATATGGCTATTAGATACAGGGTGAAGCGGGCTCTCAAGACTTGCAAGAAGTTGCTTCCAAAGCGCTTTTCCAGAAGGGTTGGCCACAAAAAATATTCAAAATTCTTGTA